ATTTATTTGCTTTTGTCAAAATTTTTCTTGTGAAATAATCTGCAAAACTCCAGAGAGAAAAACTTCAAGAAATGGACGGCAGATACCATAAGCCATGAATTGGACAAAATATGCACCAGAGACCCTATAGCCTTAGCATGCTAGTAAATTAGCGAGCACTTCAGCTCAGTGCTGTAAGGATATTTCTAAAGTTAATATATCAATGCTGCGATAAGTTAAGAAAGATGATTATGACATGGTTGGAAAGATAAAGAACAGACAATTCTGACAAAGAGCAGTACAAAACATCTCAGTAAGTGTCTTATGACTCACAGCAGCACTAGAATACAGTCCTCCATTCAGTTAGTCATGGCTACCAAGACAGTAGACAGTACTAAACTTCTCACTCGTCTCGTCACTAACTTTCATTATTTTAGCAATACCAATCCATGCATTCTTGATCAAGGTAGCAAGCATATGTGATCTCCAGCTTGCTTTTAAGCAGAACCAACTCACGTCAAGGAAACTGGTTGAGTTCTACATTGGAGAAATCAATAGACTGAACTCATTCCTAAAAGGGGTCATAGAAATAATTCCTGATGCACCTCGCCAAGCTGATAAGGCTGATGACGAGCTCAGTGTTAGGGCACCAGGTTCAATGGTTGGTTTGCATGGCATTCCTATCCTTCTCAAGGATAACATTGCTACCGTTGAACACCTCGTCTGGATCTTTTGCACTGCTTGAATCAGTCGTGCGTCATGACGCAGGTATTGTTGTGAAGTTGAGGGAAGCTGGAGCTATAATTCTTGAAAAGGCTAGCTTGAGTAAGCAGGCTGCTTTCATGTCACTTGAAACCCCTACGGTTTGAGTGCTAGAGGAGGCCAAGGAAAGGTGAGCTAAGGTGTTTTAATTCTTCAGATGGCAGGACTTGGACAGAAAGATTATACAGATTTGATAAACTAACTTTCTGGTGTTTTGAATCTTTTTGCAGAACCCTTGTGTTCTATCAGCAGACCCTTGTGGATCAAGTAGTGGGTCAGCAATATCAGTGGCAGCAAATTTGGTAGCAGTGTCTCTAGGAACTGAGATTGAAGGCTCCATCTAATGCTAACTCAGTGGTAGGCATAAGACCAACAGTTTGTCTCATCATCGGAGCTGGTGGTCTCCCGATTTCTCTTAGACAAGAAACTGCTGGGTTAGTGATCTTCTGTTATCCATATCAGCTTATGAGATGTGAAAGACCTATTTAAGAAGCAGGAATATTTTCCCAATCACAAGTAGAAAACGGCTACCAAAAAGAAAATGATTGTCATGAAGATGAATTAAACTTTATATGTATGTTTCCACTGCATTTTAGCAACTTGTAAAGCTATACGGCGTTCACCTAAAAGAGTAATTTGTTAGTCATTACAACTACAGAGGACTCTGTTTCGAAACTATTGTATTGAATTCAAGGAACATAAATGCATCTCTTGGCTCTGGATGGAACAGACCTATCTGCAGGAAGTTTCAGTTTAATTTCTAAAATATATTTTAATTAAATTTTATCTTATTAAATCATTCTAGATTAATTTTTAATTAATGGTTCTTAAGTGTGAAAACACAATCTTGAAATAATGATATTGTTAAACTGAAATGGTACGTGTGTGTGTGTGATTTGAATGATCTCTCAGCAAAAATAGTAAATGAATATACTGTGGTAATGCACTCTCCCAGGTTTAGTATTGGTTTGTTCTTTTACATAATTTACCTGTTCCGATCTCTTCATTTCACTGTAAACTCTAACAGGAGAAAGTGTCGTTGGAATATAAACTCACGTAGAAATTGCTAGTGGCTACTGGCTACTGGCTAGCGTTGGAGCATACGCTGTGCGCGGATCAAGTAGTGGGTCAGCAATATCAGTGGCAGCAAATTTGGTAGCAGTGTCTCTAGGAACTGAGATTGAAGGCTCCATCTAATGCTAACTCAGTGGTAGGCATAAGACCAACAGTTTGTCTCATCATCGGAGCTGGTGGTCTCCCGATTTCTCTTAGACAAGAAACTGCTGGGTTAGTGATCTTCTGTTATCCATATCAGCTTATGAGATGTGAAAGACCTATTTAAGAAGCAGGAATATTTTCCCAATCACAAGTAGAAAACGGCTACCAAAAAGAAAATGATTGTCATGAAGATGAATTAAACTTTATATGTATGTTTCCACTGCATTTTAGCAACTTGTAAAGCTATACGGCGTTCACCTAAAAGAGTAATTTGTTAGTCATTACAACTACAGAGGACTCTGTTTCGAAACTATTGTATTGAATTCAAGGAACATAAATGCATCTCTTGGCTCTGGATGGAACAGACCTATCTGCAGGAAGTTTCAGTTTAATTTCTAAAATATATTTTAATTAAATTTTATCTTATTAAATCATTCTAGATTAATTTTTAACTAATAATTTTTAATGTATTTGACTCATTATATTTGTAATATATTAGCCCAAATATAAATTATAATTATAATTAAATAAATTAAATAATTTAATTTATTATCAATTCAACAATTTATATAATTTATTTTATATCCAAAATTTGTTCTTTCATTACCTAAATTAAGATAACATATAACATGACAAAAGTATAACATTCTCTATATAAAATGATTTAGTAATTTCAAGTCTAAAAATCACTTACATAACTATTATGTGAACCTTTACATGGATAAACGTGATTTTTTTCATATGAAATTTTCATTCAGGTTAGTTCAATATAAATATTTTATAACAAGTACCTATATATTAGTTATAGATATCTCTTACGAGAACAACTGTTTCTTTTCATAATAAAAAAACATTATATATATAGTCTATATATATATATATATATAGTCTTTATGGTTTTAATGAATATACAGTATTTAAAAAAAATATCAATTAGAAACATTTTAAAAATAACATTTTTATATAATAAAAATCTCATAATTATAGCAATTTTATAATATTTTTATAAAATGTTTTTATTATATAGACTTTATTTTTATTTTAGATCCATTAATCTAATATTATATAAATATTAAAATAAATTATTTTTTTATTAATAATAAATATATATTTATATAAATATAATAATATCACAAATAACCAATCAATTAATTAAAAAACATATTACACTAACATATTCGTATTCACATGGTAACTTGGGAGATTATATGTTTTTGCTGCAACATAATTACAGGTAGGACGCATCTATGTAAAGACTATTTGTTCTCCTTTAAATTTTGTTGGTAACTTGTGCAGAATCGATGGAAGCTTTTGCTGTACGAAGAGCAGTTTCTCAAATTTCATTTATTATTATTGTTATTAATCTGGATGAACTGGAACACTTCTGCATTTTTATACTGAAGAAAAAAATTCATATAATTGTTCATAGATTTTTTAAGCTTTTATAATAAAACAACTCAATTTCATTATAAAAATTCAAAACAAATCTTGAAAAACTAAAAATAATACTAAATATAACTTGGATTCATTATAATAAAATCTTAAAAGAATCCAAAAATATGTAGCCTAATAAAAAAAACCCAAAAAAACAATTGAAATAATTTTGATTTAAATCAGTTTAAAAAAATGAATTAAAATTAATAAATTTAAAGTTAATTTTAGTTTAATTTAGTTTAAAAACTTAAAAAAATTATTTTAATTTAGATATTTATTTTAGAATCAAATTGAAATACATGACTTTATTTAAAGAGTATTTAAGACTGAGATGATAATTTTTTTCAAGTATTTTTTATTTGAAAATATATTAAAATAATATTTATTTTATTTTTTAAAAAATATTTTTGATATCAATATATTAAAATATTTAAAAAATATAAAAAAATTAAAAAATTATTTTTAAAATATTTTTAAAACATAAAAATAAATAATAACTTAATAGCCACGCACACCGTTTGATTTTTCCTCCTTGATTGGTGCGCTTCTTTTTGAAATCCGATATCCAAAAAGCAATAGCACTGTCGGAAAGTTATGTTCACACCCTTGTGCCGAGTAAGCATACTATTAAATTAATATGAATTGACCATCCTAGGCTATGGCCATACATTAATATCTAGTTAAGTACTCATGATAAAATTGGTTTAAATTTTTTAATATAAAAATTTAAATATTATTAATATTATTTAAAAAAATAATTGAATAAGAATTGTTTTGATATAATTAATTGAATTTGCAGGTTAAAAAACAATTTATATAACTCCTGAAAATATAATTTCACTAAAAAAATAAAGATATTATTTTTTTAATATTAAAATAATAATATAATAGATTGAATTAGATTAATTTGAATCATATTAAATTTATAATCCGAATTATGAGACTTTAATAACCTTCCAAAAAGCAAATCAAAATAAATTATAAAGTTTAATTCTTAGTCGAATCAATATTGAAAGTTAAAATTTAAAAAAATAATTCAAAAAAGATTTATTTGGTCATGAGACCAAGATATTCTTCTAGAAAATAAATAGAAACAAATTATGAAACTTAATTCTTAACCAATCTAGTATTGAATAATAAAATTTAAAAATATCAATTAAAAATGAGATATAAAAAACAGTATAAGTATACTCAAGTTAATCTTTTAAACATTATTCTCAACTCATGAGGTTCAAATAACATAATAGAAAATGAACAAAATAAATTATGTTCAACCAATTCAATATTAAAAGATAAAATTAAAAAAATTAATTAAAAAAATTAATTAACCATATTATCCTGTTAAACTTGAAATTTGTATAATGAGGATATAATAAATCAATAAAAAAATTAATATTAAAAAATAAAATTAAAAAAACATTGTATTTTTTTTTTAAAAAAGTGAAGTAATATTTAATTAATAATAATATGTGAGGAGAGGAGAGGCACCGTAAACCTTCTCTTTTAGTTTATAATTAGTAATTATTAATTAATTAATTAATTAATTAATTCTATCAGTAACCATAAATTAATATAAATATATAGAAACGTCCTGTATTGCTGCTTCAGCCTGCAGTATTTGTCTACTTAAGGCAGCACCATCTCCTATCTCACCCGTAGCCTACTTCAGACTTGAAAACTCAGCTGGGCGACTCAGTTGAGCACTTCTCATCTTATAAGCTATGGCCAACAATTCTCTACTGTTTTTAATTCTTGCCTCTTTATTATTATCTGGGTTCTTTACCAAGACAAGCAGTGCCTTCTCAATTGAAGAAGCAACTATAGATGATCTTCAACTAGCTTTTAAGCAAAACCAACTAACCTCTAGACAACTCGTTGGGTTCTACCTCAAACGGATCCGCAGACTCAATCCGCTTCTTAGAGGGGTCATAGAGGTGAACCCTGATGCACTCTTTCTAGCCGATAAGGCTGACCGAGAGCGCAGGGTCAACGCCACGGGGTCAACTGGTGGTTTGCACGGGATTCCTATCCTGCTCAAGGACAATATTGCAACCAAAGACAAACTGAACACTACAGCTGGTTCTTATGCACTCCTTGGATCAGTTGTGCCTCGGGATGCAGGTGTGGTAATGAAGTTGAGGAAAGCTGGAGCTATCATATTAGGGAAGTCTAGCTTGAGTGAGTGGGCTAATTTCAGGACAAATGGCGCACCCTCAGGTTTTTGTGGGAGAAGCGGCCAAGGAAAGGTGAGTTGCTTAATTACTCGCACAAGTCAGTTGTTCAAGCCTTTCTTGAAATGATTCATCACTTATCCAGGCTTCTAACTGCATGTCATGACTCTGCTATGCTAAACATTACCGTCATCTCATGGACTTTTGGAGTTATGTCTGAAACTAACAGATAATTCTGGGGTTTGATTGTGATTATAATCAATCATTTTGTAAAATTCAAAAGGTTTTCTAGCTTATGCTAAGAACAAACAAGCAGGAAGCACGATTGGCATTCCAATGCTACAAGTTCTGTGACGATTGTCTTCCGAATGACTTGTCAATTGCACTGACGACATGAGATAATAATTGTGTGACCTTTATTTGCAGAATCCATATGTTTTGTCCGTGACTCCTTGTGGGTCAAGCAGCGGGTCAGGAATATCAGTGGCAGCGAACTTGGCAGCCGTGTCACTTGGGACCGAGACTGATGGCTCCATCCTATGTCCATCGAGTTACAACTCAATTGTGGGCATCAAACCCACTGTTGGTCTCACTAGTAGAGCTGGGGTTATCCCCATCACCCCTAGACAGGACACTGTGGGGTAGGTGAATTCTTAGCCGACTGTGATAATTTTACTAGCATCAGCAATTGAGATAATGTGAATCAGTATTTGCTGTATTATACTGAATGGTCGGTAAGATTTATGCTGGTTTCTGGTTGTTACATGTTGGATGGAGCAGGCCAATGTGCAGGACAGTATCGGACGCTGTATATGTTCTTGATGCCATTGTAGGCTTTGATTCAAATGATGCTGCAACCAGAGAAGCAGCAAAATATATTCCAAACGGTGGCTACAGACAATTTCTTAACCCTCTTGGGCTTAAAGGGAAGAGATTGGGGATATTGAGGACTCTATTTTACAATTCGGGCAACGATAAAGGATCCCGTCGGCATCAAACTTTTGAGCACCATTTTCAAACACTAAGGTAAAAAAAACCAAGTGTTTTTCTGGTGTCATTTTCGTTTTTTGTTTTTGTTCATAAAAAATTGAAAATAAAATATAAAAACTTGCTCGTTTTTGTTTTTTGTTTTCAATAAATAAAAAATGAGAACAAGTTTTCAAAACTTAAAAAAAAATGTTTCTCAAAAGTTGTGCAGTTAATCTACAGAGTATATATATGACTTTAGTGATTATTGGGCTAATAACATATACGAGACACCTAGATAATTTATAATTAAATAAAATAACAGTTATTTTTTAAAATATTTTTATTTAAAATTTATTAAAATAATATTTTTATTATTTTTAAAAAATTATTTTTAATATTAACATATTAAAATAATATAAAAACATTAAAAAAATTAAATTTATTTAGGACTAAATTTATAATAATTGGAGGGTAGGTCACAACCCAGGAAATAAAATCTCGGGAGTTGGGTTATGACCCAGCTCCAAGGCGAACAAGGATTAAGTTGAGAGCCAAGACTAGGTTCAAGCCGTCCTAGAGGGTTGGCTTAGGATCAGTCTAAGATGATAGGGTCCAAGTCGGGACTGGATCTAGACCCATTCTACAGCATTGGATATCATGGCTATTAATTCCAATTGAGATTAAGTGTATTTTATAAATTAAAAGACAAAAACTAATTAAGAAAATTGCAAAACAAAACAAGTTTTCTGTTTTTAAGAATCTGTAAACAAAAATAAGAAATTTGAGAATAAAAACAGAAAACGAGAATGATATCAAACGATCTCTAGATTTTTCTAGTAGTAGTTTCAATAATCTCATGGCAAATTAGTGCAAGCTGACTAGACAATCTTTATATTTTCCAAAATTAAGACGACAAGGTGCAGTTCTCGTAGACAATTTGCAAATAAGCGACGATGACACGATCACAGCCGGGCAGAATGGAGAATTACTTGCAATGCTGCTCGAATTCAAGCCAGCCTTGAATGAGTATCTAGAACAGCTGGTGGCGTCTCCAGTCCGATCCTTAGCAGCTGTGATAGCCTTCAACAAAAAGTTCTCCAGATTGGTTAGTACATGCGCGACTATAATCGGCATACTGAACCAACACGGGTGCAATCCACATTTTGATTTATTTGGTTGGTCTTGCAGGAAAAGACCAAGGAATACGGTCAAGAGCTCTTCGAGAAAGCCGAGTTCTTGAGTCGAAACATAACAAACATTGATGCTACATTGAAGAAACTGGTGTCAACATTCAGCAAAATCTCGAAGAATAGCCTCGAGAAATTAATCAAGAAGAACAAACTAGATGCGTTGGTGGCACCTGATTTTAGTTATGTATTATCATTTGTTCTTGCAATTGGACAATCCCCTGGAATCAGTGTCCCTGCTGGGTATGACAGTGACGGTGTGCCTTTTGGCATTTGCTTCGGTGGACCAAAGGGTTCGGAGCCAAAACTAATTGAGATTGCTTATGGCTTTGAGACAGCTACCAAGGTTAGGAGGCCCCCTGCATTCAAGCCTTGACAGCCTAGCGAAATCCCATCGAGACTTGTTTTGATGCTAATCAAGTACCTAACAGTTCAATAATAAAACTCTTATTCTGGGCAAACACCTTAATTTTCAAGCTTTAAACGCTTTCAAGTTAACGTGCTGCTTAGCTTTGTGAATCTGTGGTTTGGTGTTGGGCTGGGTTTCATGCCCGGCATGGCTCTTTGAAATTACTAGATGGGCTAGCAGATGGATCCATTGTCTTTTGGAGCTTGCTCCATGACTATGTATAATTGGGTCATCACGCCCACTTTGAGAGTGTTTGGGTGTGAGGTGTGGTATTTTTTTTTTTAAGGTACCATTTTTTTAAAGTACACACCATATTTTTTAAAAGCAAAAAATATATATATTTAATAAGAAATGTGGTAGCTTTTAAAAAAAAACCAACCACAACTCCAACCCAAACACCCTCTATATATTATCTTAGATCCAAGCTGAATAAAAAATTATGAACTTCGTGGTACATTCTTGGATCATCGAGGCTTCCAAAACATTCTAGACTTGATTCTTAAATGGGTTGAGGATTTTGGATGATGTCCTCGGCAGTCTTACGCGGGCTTCTGTGTATAAATTTTCTTCCCTGTTTTTTATTTTCTATTTGTAGAGAGCCGGAGCCGAAGTTTGCAAAGATACCTACCACTAAAAGATTTTGTGCTAGTTTATCTCAATAAAAATATTGAGAGATGGCTTCCAGAAGTTGATGTGGGATAATAAGCTAGATGCCTTGGTGACTCCTGGTGCAGCTGCTGCTCCTCTCCTTGCAATTGATATGGACATATCGCCCATGGGTGAACCATTAGATGACGGCATTGTGCTATTGTTCCTCTCATCTCCATGGTTTTTTCTTCTTCTTTTTAGATCCTTGCTTTTAACCTGTGTATTTTTTTCCCTCTCTAATTGAGGCTGTTAATGACCGTTTCCTTTAAAGTATGGTGAGCAAATTCAGAACCCATGTGAAGAGATCAATAGATAAGGATTGCAGGAGTCTCAAAATCGGCATATGCCATAATATCCGCCCGAGTGCTCTATGAATCTGCCTGTTCTGGTCCATGCCGTCATGCTTCTTGGTTAAAGGTAAATAGCACTGCGTATGTATGCTATCCTCGCACAATCATTGCGATGTGACCTAACTTAATGCATGCTCATAATCTGGTAGTGAGGAGACACAATTTGGTCTCAAAATTGGCATTAATTCCATAATATTCGGCCGAGTGCTCTGTGAATCTGCCAATTTTGGTCCATGCCATCATATTTACTTCCTGGCTACTGCTTTTTAAAATCCACTGTGCAGAAGGGAAATAGCACTGTGTATCCATGCATCCTTACACACTCATTGCGATGTGAACTAACATGATGCTTGCTCATTATCTGGTAGCAAAGAGACAATGTGGTCCAAGTTTTATCGAAATCTAAATCATATCTAATTAAAAATTAATTTACATGTCAATATATGTTATATGTGGAATGATGACAAGAATGAATCCCATTCCATTTAAGGAGTCTAATTACTAAAGTTGGCCTAAATGAAAATAAAAATTAGTTGCAGTTGACTTTAAATTGGAACAAAGATGAAAGCCAGATATTCGGTTCCTAGAAATTATCCAATTGCAGGAACAGATGTTGCCAGACAACAAACCTCAGCCGAAACTCAAAGATTGTAGGGAATGCGCAAGGGCTCTATATATTTATCATCAAGCTAAGAAGCTGGTGAATTTAGTGTGTGCTCGTTGAAATTGCTAGTCTTGATACAGTCTTTAGTCTCAGTTGCTTAGTGGTTTGAATAATTCTTACTATTTAGAGTCAAGTTATTTATTTTCTAGTTTTTCATCAAGGAATGTAAAATGTGGGTTGCAGTCTATATATATAGCTAGTTTTGTTGTTTAAATAAATAAGGTGCACATTTTTATATCTTACTTATATTTACTAGATGAACACTTATAAGTGATATTAAAATCTTGATAATTAAGCAGTCACAAGTTTGAATCTCATCATTTCTATTTATATGATAAAAAAATAAACAAAATGTAATATGAGCATGTACAAGTTTCAAACTTAAAAACTTTCATTTGAGGAGGTGTGTTAGAAAATAATATAAATCATATATTGGGACCTCATATAACAACTTAAATTATTGGGTTGAGATAGTTTTTATACCAAGTATATGGAGCTTGTTTGAGTTCGTATAAAGCTTTCTTTAGTTTGTATACATTTTGTTCTTTCCTTTTCTTCTCATAACCAAGAGGTTGCTCAACAAAAACCTTTTCACTAATTTTTCCATGTAGAAAAGTTGATTTTATATATAACTGAAAAATCATCCATCTTTTCTGAACTGCAAGAAAAATTACCAATCAATTTGTCTCCAAATATGTTATAGTTACAAAAACCTCTGTGTAGTCTACACCATATTTTTAAATGTAACTCTTTGCAACCAAACAGGCTTTGTATTTCTTCACCTTATCATTTTCATTGAATTTCATTTTATACACTCATTTTTCACCAACTTTCTTTGCCCGAATAGGTAAATTTATCAATTTCCAAGTATCGTTTTTCTCAATTGCTACAATTTCCACATCTATCAATGTTCTATATTTTGCATCTTTTAGTGCCTCTTCAAATAGAACTGGGTCATTAGTTGCAAACATAGCTAAAAATGCAATATCTGCTTCCTTAAATAAGCCTTCTTCACTCACATAATCCCTAATCCAAGTCGGTTGTCTTCTCAATTGTTATTCCCAAGCCTCAAGTGAATTATTTTCACTTGAAGAATCGCTTTCATTCGACCCATTCCAACTGCCATTACTTTTTTTAATACTACTATATACGTCAATTTCAATTTCATCTCCATTTGCCGCAGCTGCATCTGGTTTTATGTTATTTTCCTCCTAATTCAAGTCAGCCAAAGTAACTTCCTGATGAACTTTGTCCCAATCCTAGCTATTGTTTTTATCAAACAAAAATCATTCAATTCACTCTCATATAAATAATGAAAAGATGAGTTGATATTGTAACTTTTTTAGATATATTACAGAAATGTTTTGAATCCATGTTTTTTTTCCTTCCCGTTTCATTAAAAAAAAGGTTTTTTTCGTTCCACAATCAATAAATTGATATTATCATTGCAAACATTGTGAGTGGTAAAAATTACTGGTACTAATCCATCATATATAATTTAAAAATATTAAAAAAATTAATTTAAAATATAAATTTAAATTTTAATAAAAAAAGGTTAAACTTTAATTTCAAACATAGTATTTAAAGTCATTCGGAAATCGAATTTCAATGCACTCCTAGTACTTTTCTTTTTTGTTAAATAGATTATTTGCCAAACCAAATCGACATGGTATGGTGCATGGAAAGATTAAGAATTTAATATGACGATATCGTCAATCTGTGCAAAGGCAAATAATGAGAGATACCTCCTTCGAAGAATGGATCCTATTTCCATGCATGTACACACAGCCATCCAGCAACCATTTTTACCCTTTATTGCATTCGATTTCTTTCCCAGATTATTGAGATGCGAGCAGTGGAAATTAAGGAGTTAGGCGTAATTTAAGATTAATTATATTTGTGGCTCTTGTATTTACCATGATCATACTTTCAATTTCATAGGTTTTTAACTGATTAACACTTTATTTAACAACTAATTATAATCAGTAATCAACGCATTAGATCCATGAACAATCAATCCACCCACTACCTTAAACCCAAGAAAATGTCTTGGAACGGTTAGGATAAATGGTTCACAAAGGGGTTTATGAACGAAAAGCTTCAAAATTATTCTGGTGAAATTATTTTAGAAGATCCATGTCAAAGTTGATGGCTAATGAAACATAATTACTATAAGTATATCATCAGATTTATATGAATCAAAACTATTTTATAGTTTGAATTGGTAATAGTTTATAAATGAATAAAAAATAAAAATATTTATTTCACACATTAAAAGAAAAACTTTCTTTTAATGTTTATAAATATAATTTTTTATTATATAGTAAATTAAGTGATAATGAAAAAATTATTCTAATAGGCTTTCTAATGTTATTATATGAATATTTATACTATAAAAAAATAATATTTGAAACTTAGTGTGTCTAAAAGATTAATTTATCATTGAATTAATTTTCATAATTAATTTTAATATTTGTAACTGTTGAGATAAAATTAAATAGCAACTATTCAATTTAATTTAAAATATAACTATTTCATGAATAATTATATTATTTTATCAATAATTATATTGTTTGATTAGCAATCATACTACTTCATCCTTATATTTCAAATTTATTAAAAACTTGTTACTGCACAAAAAAACAATATATAATAAAAAATATATTTTTATCTTATTTTTTAGAAGTTTAAAGAATTTAGTCGTATCATAAAAATATTACTTATACGTAGGACAAATAAATACTTTAAAAACAATATTCTTCTAAACAAACTCCATATTTATTTTCATTCTAAAATATTTCTAACAAGTGAAATATTTTAACCAGATATTATTATTATTTATGTTGGAGAATGAATATCTGTGACCTAAAAAATAGGTTTGATTTGCATAAATTTTGTTAATAAATTCGTCAATTGTAAGGAAAGCAGGTGTGTTTTGATTTTCTGCATCCCGATCATAATCATAGTTGAATAGAATATATTGGGTGGTTTTTTTTTTTTTTTCCCTAACTTGGAAAACAAATGGGGTGGGTTTTGAATTAGGGCTAATCACAGGTAATTTCATTTTTAGCCAATGTTTACTTCATCTCGTACAAGAAAAATAACCAGGTATTTCATTAGTTTTACTGACATCACCAAGATGTTAGAGAGTGAGGAGATTTTCGAGCTTCTCTGATCCTATATGGTGGAGTTAGAACCCAGATATCAAATTCCTCTTGATCTCAGGCTCATTTGGCATCTTCTAGTGTCATGGGGTCTTTTACTTTTATTATTATCTGAGTTCTGCTTTCCAAGTCTGCTGTGATTGCTTGCCCAGTTGATCGATTTTGGGTTTTCTAGAAAACGATCTACCAGTTTCAAGGTTTTTATTTGAGTAAATTTTGAATTTTTTAAAACCTGGTTGACTAGCTATCCTGTTATTGCTTTAGCTGTT